CCCTGTTTAAATAATCTTTAAAGGGAAGTACCTCAAGAAAAGGCGCACTTTGGGAGAATGAGGAGGACACCTTTCCTTGAAATTACATTTCTTGGGATGCCTGCCATCCGGGAACTGCCTGTTCGAGGAAAATCCAGCTGGAGTAATTCGAGCCATCGTAATAAATTGAATCCGACTCCAGTTGAATAAGTAGAACACTGCTCAGTGATCGGAGTTAATTTTAAGTCAGTCTGGGTGTAAGGGTATCTGTGTAGAGGACTTAACGTGAGCGGGGGAGAGAACGAGACAGCGAGTTTTGTTTTTATGCATATAACATATGAAAACAGGTATAGGTAGTAGGATTTATCGGTTCCAATAAAATTTGCGACGGCTTTCAACTGTAATCCTTCTTTGCATGATTTATATAACAAACATTTGCATTTTCACAGAAGTTAATACAGAATAGCAGGGGTCACAGTTCGTTGCAAATAATGATCAAATGAAAGTTACTATTTTAAACTAGCCTGCAGAAAAAAGGAGGGGGAGGAAGAAAGTTGATACAAATCACAATTGTGATTAAGTCTAGACATCCGATTACTAGGACACTTTGAGATTGGCCATATGGTCTAGCTGCTAGCACAGGTCGTAACATTTTTGGCTGCCCGATTTCAACTATTTCTTCAATGACACAGACAGAATTCCACAAATTTTTAGAAAACTGGTGTACCCAAGCTCCGGATTAAGGGGTGGCAGACTTTCTTTGGACAATCTCACAGAACCCAGGAATGTATTCCTTAAGTGACGCTCGCAGTAGTTGAATAAACGTTAGGACAGATCTTTGGCCCGGCTATCAGCCCTGAGTTGAGAGGAATTTCCATTGTGGCAACAATAGTATTCCATTTAATTTTAATGGTACATCCGTTTCACCAAATGCTAAGTTCTCTTTAGAAAGGGAAGAAAATTTTTCTAACGGATTCTAGCATAACAGACCGATGACGGACAAAAGCCCGAAATGGCCAGTGTAGTCTACCCTGCCTTTTACCGTAATGCATTTCTACATAGAAATGCTTTAACACAAATTTCGGTAGAGATGACTTATATGGTCGCCTAAATGGGGGCTTAAAATATCGAACGTCCGTAATACAGGTGTCAATGCATCAACGGCCAGGTAATATACGTAGAGGCTTATGGATAGGGTCAGAGTTAAGTTTAGCCTTAGATATAAGGTTGGCATTAAGGTAAGTCAGAGTAAGGTTAGGGTCAGAGTTTAAAGTAAACTCAAGGCTACAGTTTTTGTTTACGTTAGGGTTACTGTTAGGAAGAGTACGCGAGAATATTTAGCCACCCTGAGCCACGTTTATTATTAAGACGAACGGATCCTATTCCCGTGTCATGTTTGGGCGGCAATAAATATTCACGCTTAGGGGGGAGGGTGGCCTTTAACCAATTGACTGGCTTTTTAACCGTTTTCGGAATCCGCCCTGGAAACGCTTCACACTAACTGAAATTGAACTTTTTATAGCATAAAGTTCCCACATTTTGTTGAATAAATGATTCTTACAGATCTTCCACTAAAATCGCTAAAAGGTACCCGTACGTTAAGGTAACAGTTAAAATTATTCATTCTAATCGAACAATGGATACGTCTCATAAAAATTCGCCCCGAATAATGGACAGCCCTGTGTGTACATATGGGCTACTGATGCAATGATCAAGAAACTTCTGTCAGTTAAAACAGAGTAAAAGAAATCAGTCTAATTAAGACTGCGATCGGAGTACTTACTTTTTTCGCAACAAGAGTATTAGGCAACAAAATAGCTGGCTTTAGATTTTTATAAATCCTTCAGAATATTAGGATGTTTCATGCATTTATTCAGGCAAGTCCGAGGTCCAAACTCTTAGGAACTGACATCAGATGATTCAGTACTTTTGAACAATACGTTTTATCCAATTTCAGACCGATACGCCGCCGAAATATACCTTGAAAATGAGTCACACAGACAAAAATTGGAGATTGGCTAATAAGCCTTTCAAGCAAGAAAATAGAGTATCACGATCCTAGATTACTAAACACCTGCTAGACAGTAGTCACTTTTACGATCTCAAAACAGCCATCCGAGTACTTGTTCGGGCACGAAAAATCGGACCCTGCGCTACATGGAAACAGCTCGCATACGGCGGAGAACACCCAATTTATGCAAGTAGCTAGGCCATGTGGTCGCTTTCCCATTGCCCTGGTAATCGAATGCCAAGACTTAATCACGACTGTGATCTTTTGCTAATTTCCTCCTCCTTTTTCTTTCCCATATGCTGCTTTCAGGTAGTGTCCTTCATTTGATCATTATTCACAGTGAACTGTGACCCCTGGTGTTATGGACTGACATTCTGCGAAAGTTCAAACTGTTGTATGCCTTCATTCGCTATCTTAATCATGCGCAGACGGGATGCAGTTGGATCCAATAAATCCTGCTGCATACGCATGTTTTAAATTCGTGTCCGAGAAAAAATGCTTCAGAAGGTCACAAATTCCGAGTTATTTAAATAAGGCTTCATTTACCGGTCTCCGACCACCCCCC